ACTTTATAACATGAAAAATGTGATATTTAGCATTGCAAAATATGATGGTTTGAATGAAGATGACTCCCACAGGCTCGTATGTTCAAATGCTGAGTCCCCAATTGGTGGAACTGCTGGAGAATGATTGGGAGGTGTGTCCTCATTGGAGGAGGTGTGTCACTGGGGCAGGCAGGCTTTGGGGTTTCAAAAGCCCACAGTATTCCCAGTTAGCTCTCTCTGCTTCCTGCTCTGGGATTAGGGTGTGAGCTGTGAGCTTTTGCTCTAGCTGTCTGCTACCATTCTTACAGTCCACTGCCACAGACTCTAACCCTCAGGAACTATAAACCCAATTAAACTCTTTTTAAAAAAAGTCAGTTTCTTTGGTCATGACGTCTTGTTCCAGTAATAGAAAAAGTAACTAAGACACAAATAAAACTGAGAAATGAAGAGCTGTATTAGTCAACTGTGACCAGCAACAATGAAATAATTATAGGGTAGATTTAAATAGCCCACATGGATGTTTCCTACTCTTTTCAAACACTTAACTGATACTGTAATGAGGAAAATGTTACCCCCTCTTTATCTCTATGTGGGGTGTGTGTGTGTGTGTGTGTGTGTGTGTGTGTGTGTGTGTGTGTGTGTGTGTTTATCAAAGAGGAGTCAGCTTCCCTGAAGCTGGAGTTTCAGGAAATTGTGAGAATTGTGAGCTGTCTTATGTGGGTGTTGGAAATCGAACTCTGTTCTCTTGCAGCAACAGTATGTTCCCCCTAACCACTGAGCCATCTCTCCAGCCTGCAAAAAAATGTGTTCTTAATAAGTAATCCTGGGGCTCATGAAAAGCACTCAGGGCAAGCAATGAGCACTGGAGACATGAATATTTGAAACTGCCCCAGGCAGCGTGGTCTCATTATGAACCTTATGCTGGGTGTGGTGCATGTTCCCAAGAAGCTGGTGTTCCTTCAAAACGGTGGCATGCCAAACCCTGTCTCTCTCACACGCTGTGGCTGCTTAAGTCAAGGTAGTATTCCCGTCTGAGGAGAAACAGGCTCCGGGAGTCCAGGTTACCCGGAAATAGAGGCCTGAAACTTGATCTCTCACCCACGTGACTTTTCTCCTCTTTGGTTCTGATACAGCAAGGACACACAATTCTCTTTGTGTTGGTTTTGTTATTGTTATTTTGTTGTGAATTTTTTCCTCCTGTATGTAAAGAGCTAAAAACAACAGGTACAAACCTGTATAGGTATGATACCAGAAAGCTCTATGAGAAGTCCCTGAATTTTCTCACTTCAGACCCCACCATTATCTACAAAACCACGGGTTTCCAATGCTTCTACGGTCTGTTCGTGGGGAGTCAGTGGAAGCAGAGACTATTTGGGGGAATCTTTCAAGCTGATAATGGCAGCATGTCCCTCTCGTCACAATCCCTCTTCATCACCATCTTTTCCTCCCTACCAAGAGCATCCCACCATCTCTGACACGACACCATCATCACAGGCGTTAGTAACACTCCATCACTGATGCCATCATCACAGGCGTTAGTAGCACCCCATCACTACTGTTCCGTGACCATCTTCACCCCTGCCACTACAATTGCCATGTATAAAGAACATTTCAGTGTTATGTATTAAATTTTGCTTATGAACATTACACATGCCTGCCTCCACCCCAAGGAATACTCTGTGCTAGACTGTTTTCTGGAATCATGAACTAGATATCAGATTATGCAACATAAAAACAAAAACAGCTTGACGTGGAGGTGCACACCTGCTGTCCCAGCACTTGGAAAGCTGAAGCAGGAGGACTACAATTTCCAGGCCAACCTGAGCTGTATAAGAGCCTGTCTCAAACAAAACAAAACAAAAACAAAAGAGCAGCCTTGGGTCCAGTTAAGGCTCTGGCATTCCTGTAAAACCAGTGTGGACATGAAGGAGACTCAGCTTTCTTCACATACCAGGATAAGAAAAAGAAGGTTCTGGTAGACCCAGGCTTCATAGTACATGCATGCATGCCTTTTTGGGTTTGGACTGAGACCATGGTTAATGGGGTACTCTAGACCATGCCTTCGGCACAAAAACCAGAGGCACTCACCCCAATGGAGACCTCAGGCTTGAGACTCCAGTGATCAGCAAGGGAGAGGCTCTGTAGTAAGACAGGAGGCTTGTTTTTTGGATGCTAGAAAACTACTCAAGCAGCTGTCCTCACTCCCTAATTATACCCTTGCTGGGGAGGTCTGTAAGGGCTCTAGAGGCCTTTGGGCTCCTAACCATCTCTGCTTAGGTAAGAGCCCTGTGCAAACAAGCCTCTGGGGGGCACAGACATGTAAACAGCTCTGCAGCTGACACTGACACATAAGCTGGGGAATAAAACAAGTGTCTGCAGATCCCAGAGTCCGCAGTCAGCACCTCCTTGGCCTTGTGTCAGGGGAAGGGATTCCCAGGAAGTTTGCCAATTCACCAGGGACCTGAGAACAGGCGGCATGAAAGAGGAGAGGCCATTGGGAAGAATGGGTGTGCGACCAGCCAATGTGACTTTCTTCGTGTAAGGGCTGGGATGGCTTCACTGAGGGAGCGTGCCACTTACAGAGAGAGTGAAACAAAATAAAGAACACCACCAGTGTGCAGTTGAGCCGTGGGAGCAGCCCAGTCTGCCTCCCCAAGGAACTGGCATTGTCAGAGATAGCGGATAAACATGCCCCTTTGTGTTCTCTGCAATTACTGCTGCCAGTGCTGGTGAGGATCCCACGGTGTCCATGGATGTAAGACCTCGGCCCTGCACAGTAACATGGCTAAGATGGCACATGTTACGTTTTATGTACTTTATCACAAACAAACAATGGGAGTGGTTAAAGGGTCTAGGTAGGATTATTTATTTTTATTTTGTGTGTATGAAAAGGACTTGTTTTGGAGAGTGTCTGTGTACTACGTTCATGTGTGGTGCCCATGGAATCAGAAGAGGACACTAGGATTCCTGGAACAGGAGTTATAGACAAGTTGTGAGCTACCATGTAGGTGTTAGAATTGAACCTGGGTCCTCGGCAAGAGCAGCAAGTGCTCTTAAGTGCTGAGCCATCTCTCCAGCCTCTAGGTAGTTTTTTATCCATTAAAAAAAAATTGGAGCCAGGAGGTAGTGGTGCACACCTTTAATCCCAGCACTTGGGAGGCAGAGACAGGCGGATCTCTGTGAGTTCGAGACCAGCCTGGTCTACAGAGCAAGTTCCAGGACAGGCTCAAAGCTATACAGAGAAATCCTATCTCAAAAAAAAAAAAAATAATAATAAGGAACTAAAGTCTTACTAGGAATGTACAAACAGAAAATACGTGCCTAGTTCTTCTTATTTTAGTATTTTACACAAGTAACTTTGTCACTTGGGAAAATATATAATGGGCTTCTTTTTTTAAAAAATATGCTTAGTTTGGATTTATATTTCAGAATCTTATTTATTTTAGACAGGATCTTACTCTGTAGCCCAGACTAGCCAGAACCTCAAAGGAAGCCCAGGTTGGCCTCAAATTTTTGATCTCCCTGGTGTGCGCTGCCATGCCAGATATGACTTTATGTCTTTAATTCCCAATACAGGTACCACCGCGACACTCAGTAAGTAGAGGCAGCTGGATCTCTGAGTTCAAGACTAGCCTGGTCTACATAGTAAGTTCCATGCCAACCAGGGCTGCATAGTGAGATCCTGTCTCAAAACAAAATAACACAATAGCAGCCATGATTTCATGACACTTGCCTTTGTGTCTTTCACCAAGTCTCCCCATTGCCTTCAATTCTGTAAAAAGTAACCTTGGGTGATATTTCCCCCATATCATGGTTTCTTTCAAAGAAGGGACTTTTTTTAAAATTCTAGCTAGGATCCCTGTGGCCACTCTAAAGGGAGACAACTTCTATCCCTCAATCAATTGTGTTTGCTGTCACCAACTCTCACTGCCCAGGTAATTTATAAGGAGTAGAAGTTGGACTACTGATTCCAGAGGACAGGAAGTCCAAGCTCAAGTGTTGATGTCTGCTGGAATCTGACCAGGGCCCTCCTTCTGAGCTGTGACAAAAGTTGTCATGTGGTAGAGAAAACCAAGACATCAACACAGACCCTGGCCTCATGATTGAATCTAAGCCTGATCGTCTCCCAAATTATTCCTCTCCCCATGGATCCACTAGAACTGGAGTTAAAGACCGTTTAAGCCACTACAGCAGTAGCTGTCAACCTTCCTAATACTATGACTCTTTAATACAGTTCCTGTGACCCCCAACCATAAAATTATTGTCATTGCTACTTCCTAGGTGTCGTCTTGCTACAGTTATGAATCATAATGTAAATACCTGATATGCAGGACATTTGACATGTGACCCCTGTGAAAGGATAGGATCCTTTGGCCCTCAAATGGTTCCCTATCCAGGTTGAGAACTATTGTCTAGAGTTGTTTGTTTTTAATCCATAAAATTTTTCTTGAAAGTCAAGGAGTATTCTTAAAACATGAATTTGCAGATTGAGTGAGATGTTTTGGTGGTTCAGATATGGGGTTGTTTTTGTTTGTTGGCTGGTGCGTTTCCTTGTCATCACTGGGGAGTGATTCTAGGGCGTCTTGCATGGGACGCCCACACTCTGCCAGCCCTGGATTGGGGATGCGTTTGTTAACATATAGATTTGGGGACATAGCCTGACCTTAGTTTTTTCTAAGTGCTGCCTTCACAGCAGCTTCCTGCAGCGGCTTGGCAGCCTTCCTGCTTCTGTTCTGTTTTGTTCTCACCAGTCAAGCCCAAATGGGAAAAAACAACAGGGCTTTTCTAGTTCAGTTGAGAAAAATGCTGCTGCTGCTGAGATGGTTGGGACAGCAAGCACTCCCTAAAGCATCCTCAGTCTCACCTTACCTCTTTGCCCTGTTCTCTAAAGGGATTATGTATTATATTTCTTTAAGGATTTCCCAGTGATCTGCTGTTTTACGCAAAACTAGATATCCCCGGGCTGACAAGGTGAGTTTCTGAAAAAGAAATATTTTCTATTGACTTCATCATGTCCACAGATGTGTTCCTACAAGAAGAGAAAGATCTCCCAGTAATCATAAAAGAGGCTTTACTGCAAGAGGAGGCTAAGCAGAGGCCAGTCCTGTGGCAAATGGGATCATCTGCAGCTCTGGCAAGATTCTACCTGCCTAGAATCAGATGACCGGGATAGAAGGACCTGAGAAGGACATGGAATTTGGACCCAGCTCTGAGAATCATGTTAGGTAAACAAGTTAACCTCTGACCTTCTTCAGTTTCTGTATCCAGGAGAAGACACTAATCAAGTCTGTTTTGAAGGGCTATTGTGAGGCTATGTGACTTTGTTGTAAAGTGCTTGACACATAGTATAGGTTCATGGGTGGTGACTACTATGACCTACCAGCTCTCTTTGACTTTGTTGTAAAGTGCTTGGCACATAGTATTGGTCCTCATGAGTGATGACTACTATGACCTACCGGCTCTCTTTGACTTTGTTGTAAAGTGCTTGGCGCATAGTATAGGTCCTCATGGGTGGTGACTACTATGACCTACCGGCTCTCTTCCGTTTGCAGAGCAGAATTCAAAGAGCCTGCTGTGTGTCCCTTGTTCCCTATGGGCGTTCTCCAAGCCAATAATGGCTACCCTGCCTGTAGCACACAGCCAGAGGCTGACAACCCTGTGCTTTATGACGTCACTGATAACCCTCCCAACCAGTTCTGCCACACCCTGTGCAGTTAAAAAAAAAGCACAGGCTTGAATTTCCATCCAACTTCCCTTCATACCTGAGCCTCCGCAGGAGAGCATTCTGGTTTTTGTGACCTGGACTCACAGATCCCAGGCTGGCCCCCAGCTCCCTATGTATCGTTGTATGATCCCGAGCCTTCCTCTTCTCACCTCCTGAGGGCTGACTATAGGTGTGTGCCTGGGGGGTCAAACCTACAGTCTCAGGCACGCTGGGCAAGTCCCCCACCCCCAACTGAGCTCCAGTCTCAGCTCTGACTACAATTCTCTTCTGCTGCTCGCTTCTCTGCTCCTGAGGTCCTGGGGGCAGAGATGGGGGGTTTCTTACCCATCTTGGATTCAATGTCACTGTGTTTAGCAACTAAAACCCCAACATGCCCAGATATATCTAAATTTCAGATAAAAAGACAAAGTGTTAATGTGAGCATGTCCTATGTAATATTTGGAGTGGAAATACCTTAAAAAGACAACTCATCGTCCCGACCTTATCATCAGCACTCTTCCTGGAACCCCACTCGTGGCGGATCTCCCTATTCCATTGGAGCTGCCGGGCACACCAGCAGGTGCCGCTTTCCTTTTCCCTTACAAAGCTTTCTTCTTGCATTCAGGGCTCAAGCGCTCTCCAGCTCAGAGGCAGTGAGCATTCACAGGGTGCGTGGGTGCCGTATGTGCGTTTTCTCTACCAAAATGAAAATCCATGCATTTATTTCTGCTGAGGTGTGTAAATACTTCATCTGCTCTGCCTGTTCAGTCAGAGCTCCCAGTTCTATCCTGTTGCAGCCGGCAAGTGTTTGAAGTGTTCAGCTTTTAAAGCAGATATTTAACTAAATTGGCTGCTAGCCCATCAGTACTTGTGTTCACCTTGGTGAGAATGACAAAGGGACTTTTGTGCCAAACTAGCCCACTAGTCACCTCTGGCTTTGAAAGATTCCTTGGCTTATTGTCCTTAATGCTGCCAGTGTTGACTCTCAGCAAGTTAAATGCTCCCCCCCCCACACTGAAAATGTCTGCAGAATCCCCATCTGCAGTGAAAATACCAGCAATAACACTGGAGACAGAAAGCAGGGGTTACTGGAGGCCAGGGCATTGAGGCAATCTGAGGCCAAGTACAGAGGTTGGACTTAAACCTGCTGCTGGTAGAGCAGATGTCTGGGTTGCCTGGGGATATGGGAGGCTTGGGAGAAGCATTGGACTGGCTCCTCGGCTGTGTCGGGAGGTAGGAAGGGGGACATCCTAGGGAGGGTTAGGACAGTTCTTTTCATTGTGAGACAGTTGTAGTGTCTGGAGCACCCATTTCCTGGCTTGCCTCCCTGGAAAAACAAAGGAATCACACCTGTATCTGGGCTTGCAACCACCTGCCAAGCTCCTGTTGGTGCCCAGTGACTCATATTAGAGTCTAATGTAAATGATCAGACCCTGCATTGTGGCTAGGGGTAAGTTTCCCGGGTTTGATTCTGCCTATGCTACTGGAGAAGTTACTTTCCCTGTGACCCAGTGTTCTGTATAAAATATCAATATGGCAGTGTCTACCTCATGTACGTGGCCAGATGTGGCTGGAGTTGCTAGGAGAGCAGAGCTCATGCTTGTCAAGTGCTTAGAGCAGAACCTGCATTGTAGTGCCAAGTCCTTGAGTTTCATGTTTCTGTCATGCATACATACATACATGCATATATATAAATATGTCATATATATCCTGTATATATTTATATGTATGAATTTATCATCTATAGACGTGTGTGTTTGGGTTTGTGACTGTGGACAATGGGCGGCCAGCTGGTTCATAGTCACAGTTGTGACGGTGTAGGCTCTTTGGATGGATACCTTTAAAGAGAACTCAGGAAACGTTATTGGATTCTTTTATGAACTTTTAGCAGTTCTGTGTTGATTTCTCTCTTTCTCACACAGGCTACAGTCATGGGCTTGGTTTGGGACTTAGAAACCAAGTTAGCTTCTCAGTGTGGAAAGCGACCATGCCACCTGCAGAGTGCCTGGCTGAATTTCACCCATGGTAGACATCCAACAGCTTCTGGGCCAACAGGCAACCACCCAAAGGGAGCGGACAGGTTGCTGGATCTGTTTCCTCTGAAATGCAGCTGTGTCCAGTGTGAAGTAGACGAAGACACCATCAGGGTTGGAAGTGGCCTCGGGGACTAGATGGGGAAGGAGCCTCTTTTCTGAGAAGGATATGGCAAAGGTGGGAGGGATACTGTGTGGTGTTCCCAGCAGAGACTCCAGGCTACCTCAATTCTTCAGGTCCTTGGATGTGACTGACAGCCAGCATTCTATGTGATGGGTCAGCGAGCCTGACAGCCTCCCTGTTCCCTACGAGCAACATCCAGACTGCCTCTCAAACAACACAGGTGGGAGACTGTTGCCTCTCAGGCAGCTCAGGTGGAAGGGACTCCCTTCTGCTTTTTAGGGCCTGGTATTGAATCGGAGAACTAGTCTTTATCAAACGGGCCTGGAATGAATTTTACAGGTTGTGCTAAGATCTTTTAAATCCAAAAAGCTAGAATTGGGTGACTTGCCAAATCAAAGAGGCCAAATGCAGATAAAGCATCCCAAATTCGGGGTTGGGGAAGTAGCTCAATTGGTAGATTACTTTCTTAGCATGCAGGAAGCCCTGGGTTCAGTCACCAATTCTTAACAACCAGGGGTGAAGATACACACCTATAGTCCTAGCACTAGGGAGGAGGAAACAGGAGGATCAGAAGTTTAAGGCCAGCCTTGAACATAGTAAATTCAAGGCCAATGTAGGCTAAGGAGGCTCTTTCTCAAAAACAAACAAACAAACAAACAAACAAACAAAAACAAACATGGAAAAGCCCCGTGATAGGGAATCAGGAACATGCCAGCCAGATACTATCGAAACAGACAGCAAGTGAAGTGACACTTGCTCTCAGTGACTGTGGCCACTGTGGCTTGTAAGCCAGTCAGTTGAACTCTTGGCAAGGTGCTAAAGACAGAAATCCAGCAGTCCATCTCCCGAGATCAATACAGCAACTCTCAGCGTGGCTGGTCTACCCGTGACTACACACTGATGGGGAGATGGCATTAGCTGGAACCCCTACAACCCCCAGGGCAGTCTGGATGGCACAGCCTGTTATGCTGGATGGAATAGGGATGTTTATCCCCCTGATTTCTCCAGCCTCCTTTGGATGCAGCCCGATATTATACAGTTAGCTCTCTGCTCAGGTTATGGTATCTGGAATGTCTGTTACTTATCCCCCCAACTGGTGGCAGTGTAATGAGGTGCCCCTCTAGGAGATAGGGTGTGGTTAGTCACCAAAGTAGCCTTTGAAAGTTTTTGCTCTGCCCCTAGCTCTGGTACTCTGCTGGCTCACCACCATCATGGTGCAGCTGTCCCCACCTCCACATCCTGCCTGCCATGATGGGTTATGTCTAGATATCGTTTTTAAAAGACAACAATATTCCATGGTGTGTGGGTGTGTGTCTATTCCCTCACCTGCAATGGCCTAAAGGTGGCTAATGTAATAACACCAGCATGGACCTTTTCCTTGAGCTGTAGACATAATGGCATTTGGCAGGGGAGCTACCATCGTTTGGCCATTTTCTGAACAATGTGATGGTTCCCTCTGTCTCTTTCATGTCAGGGAGAACTGAGTCCCTTTGGGCTGGTACAAAAGGATATGTGAGGGACAGGGTTTAGAAGGGAAGGAAGAACCAGCCACCACATCTTCCCCACTATGATATCCTGTAACCTTCACAATGAAATAAACTCTTCCTTTTTAAGATTTTTTAAGCTATCTTCCCCAGCAATAGGAAAAGTTGATCCTAACGATTTAAAACAATAGCATTACCCTTGAGTTGTAGGATCATAACAGGGTTGACCCAAAATTTGCCCTCTAAATCTTCTAAGCAGTAGGGTCCATTTTTTGTGTTGATTTGTTTGATTAGATTTTTAAGTTATGCACATGTAGTGTCTTTTAAAATTAAAACCTGCCAAGTGTGATGGCACATGCCTTCAATCCCAGCACTTGGGAGGCAAAATCAGGCAGATCTCTGTGAGTTCAAGACCAGTCTATTCTACTTAAGGAGTTACAGGACATTCAGGGCTGCATGATGAGATCCTGCCTCAAAAATAAAATAAACAAACAACAAAATTAGAAGCCATACTTTATGTATATCAGTACAGTTTACTTATTGACATGATGATAGAATATTTTGGTACAGTTTTAAACAGAAGAAAAAAGGGAAATTCTCATGTTACAAAACCCTGTCCTCACAAGCAAGCAAACAAACAGACAAAAATCACCTTTCCTAAATGGGTCAATCAGACAAATGGACTCAGTGACTAGTAGTGTCTAATGGTCCATAGCACTGGTTCTCAACCTTCCTAATGCTGTGACCCTTTAATACAGTTCCTCATGTTGTGGTGACTCCAACCATAAAGTTATGTCATTGCCACTTCATAACCGTAATTTTGCTACTGTTATGAATTGTAATGCAAACATCTGATCTATGATACGTGACCTCTGTGGGGGTCGCGGCCCACTTGTTGCGAACCGCTGGCCTATAACATTAGAAGTCGGCTTTCTTTTAACCCCACCTACCAAATATTAGAGTGCCATTTTGAAGGGTTCAACATATTTGCTTCTGTGGCAGAGTGGGAACTTGAGGCTCCCACAGATTTGTGTTCTCAGAGCCTTTGTGGGTGCAGAGGGGGTGGGGTTGCTGGGAATGTGGGACCATCTATTCATTCTCCATAGGCAAGTGGTATCAGATCCTGGGATTTCCTTTATGTTCTCAGGAATGTGCAGAGTGAGCTCCCCAGGCTGTCCTATTGTTGGGCTGTGTGCTTAAGAGAGATAAGGTGACAGAACACTGGTGTTCCACGGGGCCTGCCCAGCTGCGTCCTATGCCATCAGCTCCAGCGCCCCACAGGGGGCGGGGGAGCCACAGATGACAGGCAGCTGCGAGTCATCTGCTGTGGGAACAATATCAGCTGGCAGCTCGCCCTCCTTCTGAGATATTTGCCTTAAAGTTCCACGGGGGTGAGGGTAGGGCTTGAAGGGGTCGTATTTATAGTTTGTGCTATAAATAAGTTGTCTTGGGCAGCTGCTGTCCAACTGACTTTTTGAATGTGAACATCATGATTGAAAGGGTCAGATGATCTCCAGAAAGCGCTAAGGCCTCCTTATTCCATCCCTGAGTTCTGCTGGCACTTTCCCTCACTCCTGTGGCATGTGGAAGTCTCCATGGCACACCTACCCACTTCACCCCACCCTTCTCTTGTACATCTTATGGTTAGTACACTCTCATCAGACCTGTCAGAACGCAGAGCTACCTGGTATAAGCCTCTGACACATGTTCCCTTGGATGGAGTGGAAAGACAGGAGGGGGTCCCAACCTGCCAAGGATGCTTCTTGGAGTGGTCTTTGGCACTAGCAACTTCATGTATATTTAATGAAGAAATAGCAGGTGACCCGGGCTGATATTGAGACATCTGAGCTGCTACCCTGGGTTGAGGAAAGTGAACAACTAACTCAGCCACAGCATTGGCTCTCTGAAATGGGAATCCCACGTGTGGGAACCTCTCTGGTGGTGCTGGGTCATGTGTGCAGAGCAAAGAGTGGGAACTAATCAAAAGTCCACCTATAGGGGCTAGAGAGAGGGCTCCTTTGTGAAAGCACTTGCTGCTCTTGCAGAGGAAGGGATTCAGCTCCCAGCACCCAGGTGGGGCTGCCTTCATGAACGGACAAATATGCCAGTGGGATCATAATTTGATGGCATTATTGGGAGGTGGTGGAGAGTAGGCAGAGCCTGGCTGGAGGAAGTACGGTCTTGGGAGCACACCCAAGAGAGATGTGTCTAGTCCACATCCCCCCCACCCTCTGTGCCAGCTGCCTAACTAACCTCTCTTCTGTAGGTGTCTATATGTGAACCCCCCCACCCCAGCCTCGAGTCTTGGCTTAAGTCTCTTGTTTTGCCTATCAGGACTGGGGCTTTGGTCAAGCTTGCTAGTTCTAGTATTGGCTATATTAAACTATTACTCTCTGGAATTTTCTCTAGTTTTATGCCCAAACTGCTTTTACTCATTCTTATGTCCATCTTGAGATCCAGAAATTCAAGGCCAGAACCTAGACTTGGTCCCATCTATGCAGGGACACCAGGCATTTGTGTACTTGCTGTCTGACCATCTCTCCTCCCCTGGGATTCTACTACACTTTGGGTACACACCAGGCCTGGACCAAGCAAGATGCCACACAGGGTGAGGGCAAAGGCACAGACAAGCATCCCTTCTGTGTCAGGCTAACAATTGTCTGGGCCAGAGGTCAACAGTGTCATAAAGTCTTACCACAAAGTCACATGGAATAGCAGGAATCTGGGGCAGAAAAGAGTCCTCTAGAGGAAAAAGGCAGCTCTATTAGCATGGAAACGCTTCCAGGGGACTCCTCCAGAGAAAAAGGCTGTCCTATTAGCCTGGAAACATTTCCAGGGGACTCCTTATCTATGGGATCTGCTCAGCCTGACTCCTTCCTCCCAAACCTCCTCAGAGATAACAGTTGATTTTCCTTCTCCCTCATCCTCCCCTTCCTCTCCCTAAACTCATGGAGGCAGGACCTAGGTTCATCTCAAGGTGATGAGAAGAGACTGGCCCATATGAGTTGCCTCTGGCTGTTGGCATCGGTAGTAGGGGTTACATGGGCAGTATTTACTCCACCATCACTGGCTGCAGTCTCAAGTAACTCTGTACAAACCGGAGGCGCCAAGTCCTTTCCCAGTGTCCTACCTGGAGCATGAGATTTCAGTCTCCATTGTCTTGGGCTCACTTGTCAGGTGGGGCGTGTTTCAGAGAGGACAAATAGAGTAAGTGAGATAAGGGTTAAACACTGAACGGAGGGAGTGTGCTCGGCCACTGGAACTCTCACTTCTGCCAGGGCCTGCGGCTGGCTGTGCATCACCAAAGGGATGGGAACTGGAAGCAGAAGCTTCGTTTCCCTCTACTGCTGCTCCGGCCAGGGGACCAGGAAGTGGGCAGGAAGGAAGGAATGGTGGCATTCTGCCCTTTAGGCCTACAAAGCCACTCTGGCTCACTGTAAGCCAGCCTCTTGCCCTGTCCAGAAGATCTGCGTCTGGTCCATAGCTCACCTGCCTCTGACTCAAAAGATGAGAGTTCCCTCTGACCCCTTCTCATCTGTAAAGATCCTGCCCCACAGGAAAGATAATACCTTAATACTTGTCAGAGGCTGACACAGGGCTGACTGGCAGACACTGCTTATTATAATACTAGTTAATTGTCATTTCAGTGAGCCAGAGATCTTAAGGGATGAGCAGAATCCACCCTGAAAAAGGAAAGAAAGGTTGAAAATACCCTGAAAAGAGCCCGTAATTTCAACAGGTAGAGGCACCTTGAGAGGTAGAGGCAAGAGGATGAGGAGGAGTTCAGTGCTCCATTGCAATTGAGGGCCATTACAGCTGGCTCCCTACCCCCATGCACATAGGTACTGGGGATCAAACTCAGTTCCTCAGGCTTACACAAGCACTTCACCAATGAGCTGCCTTCCCACCCCAGCATCAGTTTCTTCGTGTGTGGTCTGCAGTCTAGATTTTTTTATTTCTCTGAGCTACAAGTCAGTAAATGCCCCTTGCAATCATGAGTGTTTATGTCTAATATTCTACACCCCCCACCACACTTTTGAGACAAGTCCTTACTGTGTAGCTTAGGCTAGCCTCAGACTCATGATCCTCCTGCGTCAGTCAGCCTCTGGAGCACAGGAATAACAGGCACACATGTCTATGCCAGCTTTGTCACTCATATTTTAAAGAGGAAAAAACTGAGGCTCACTCAGGTAGAAGCGACTTGTCCTAGGCTTTCCATTAGGCTTGTCCTAGGCTGCCCACTGAGAGCCAGGTCTCAGCAAAGCTCCACCCTTGCTATACCTTGTTGCCATGGTCCCTCACAACTGCTCCCTCCCTTCGGCATCCCTGGGGCCTCTGTCACGCTCCCCTGACCCAGTGCCATCCCAGGCCTGGTGAGATCATGTCTTCCGAAGGCGCCACCTTGGTTCCATTTTGCAGTTAGAATGAGACTATCATTTCAGGAACCTCAAAGTGACAAGTCCCAGACACCAAGATTATGAAAAATCAGTGTCTCATTGGGATCTTAATTGCATTAAGTCACCAGGCAGCTGATGCTGGACACAGCCACACCTCTGGACAAGACTCCTGATGCTGCTGTCAATGTCACTGCTTTATCCTCTGCTTCTGCCTCTGTCTGTGTCTTTGCCACCCCCACACCCCATCTTTCTCTTCCTCTCTCCAATTCTCAGGCAGGGCAACAGGAAGCCTCAAATGGAGAGGATCCCCATAGAACGCAGATTCATTACAAGAAGACTCAAGGCTCAGAACAAAGCAGTTATTCTACAGGCTGAGTGAGCTTCCTGCCTAGTTTCAGGGCTGTCCATGGAGCAGCAGGGTGCAGGGTGTGTAAAATCTCAGGATTGTTACCAATGCTGGAAGATCAATGCTGGGCTGATTTCAGCTGGGGGAGTAAAGGCTAAGAGCACTCTTAGTGGTTATTTGGTCCTGCTTGCCAAGAGTGTAGCCCATCACAGAGTTACACAGGGTGTAGCAGACAGAAGCTGTGGTGGGTGAAGGGGCATCAGTATGTGGTGGGCCAGGAGGGGCTACCCTGCAAAGTGTATCCGGGCTTAACATTTCCCACTATCCAGATATTCACATGTCACTTAGCAACTTGTTCTGGAGCGTTCCCTCTGGGCTGGTTCCTGCAGGCTCTGATTCCACTCATCCCTGCGGAGTAGTCAGTGTGGCTATACTCTTCTAGGGGCTCCTGAAGCTTCTTTAGATTGGGGACTACATCTCAGTCACCCCTGGTCTTTGAGCCAGGCATGCAATTTTTTTTCAACATGTGAATCAAGGAATCCTTCATAAAACGAAACCGGCCAATGCAGAGAACAGGTGCCTATGCCGTCCAGATGTGAGCTCTGTTTCTCTGACTCTCCAGACACATCTTCCCCTATAGCTTGTATTCTGCCCCGAGTGATGAGAAACCATAACCTTGAGTAGACCTTTGTCCTGGGTTTCTTCCTTTTCTTTCCCAATGGGCTCAAGAGTATGGAATGAAATTCTTGCTTATTCTCAACTTCATACTACTGAGGCTTTGCCCTCACAGTCATGCAGTCTTCATGCACAAAGTCTCACCTGGGATTTCTTCAGCATATACACCTTATTAAAAAATAATCAGAGCTGGAGGAATGGCTCAGCTCAAAAAATGCTTGCTGTGCAAACAATGCCATTCCCCAGTAGCTCCCTCTGCTTTGTGCTTGTGGATAGATGTAGTGGCATCTTTTTCTGTCGATAGACTTGAGGTAATGGCTTTAGGGTGTGGCTTCAGTGTACAAAAGTGATCCCTTGTAAGGAAGAGGAGCAGCTCTGTCTTGGGTTGTGGTCTCAGCATCCTGGATTGCAGACACTGCGCCTCCAGGGGCTGAAGATGCCAGTGGTTATTTACCATCGTTATGTGAGTGCTCCCTAAATAAATATCTGTCATTCTTTATCCTGGTATTCGTGGTCTTCCTTTAACCCACCTTCAGACAGAGATGGGAACGCTCAGCTACATGACATGCCTGCTTGCCTGCTGCCGTATTCCCCACCATGATGCTGATGGACACTAAACCTCTGGCTGCCTTGGTCATGGTGTCTTATCACAGCAATAGAAAAGCATCTAAGTAAGACGATCTCCAATGTTGGCCCCTGACCTCCAAACACACCTGATGCAGATACATGAATGTGTACCTGCACACCCAGAGAAAGGGAATTTCTGAGCATTCTGTGTCACAACTATAAATTAGGTAGTGGGTTTTCTTGGATTTTGCTTTCAGTAGTTGATGAAGTAAAGATCTGTAGCTAGGAATTGCCTCCCCAGACTCATCTTCAACAGTTTAATCTGGTGATATGACATGTTGACAGAGGTGTTTTCATATTCATCGGCTTTGCTAGAGCCCTTGTGATACAATGTTTGAAGGATGCTTGTAGCAGTTTCCCCACAGGACAGTAGACAGAGCTCGAGGTCATGGAATGGGGCAGGGGCCTCAATGAAGCTTTGAAATACAGCCATCCTGCATATTAAGGAGTCCTGTGATGGGGATTTCAGATAGACTTCTTGAGAACCAGTAAGAAGAGATGCTCGAGATGTGGAAAGCCAACTCCTGGGAGGAGACGAGTGACCTTCCACACACAATCATGTCCTCCTGTCCTGATTCATCCTGGCCAGGAAGTAGTCACTTTCCCCCAGCTTTACCAGCGACATCTGAAATTCCTTTAAAAGATGTAAAGGTTTAAAATGCATCTGCCACTTGCCAGGGTGGTCTTCCAGTGATGCTAATGTGATACTTATATCTGTATGGATGTTCCTAGTAGCATGTAAGTCACTTGTGCTAACTTTACCCATGATGAATGCTTACCGTCATGCCCTGTTTGTGTTCTGGTTTATAGAAAAAGAGAATGAAGATCCAGAGCTCTTTCTACTGTATGCTGGGTACATACACACAGGGACACACACACACACACACACACACACACACACACACACACACACACACACACACACGATGTACATGGCCATTTCTGCCTTAGACCCTGAGTGTCCCAGGGGGACATAGCACACAGGGTAGCCAAGCTGGAGAAGTATAAGATCATTCCAGTCATCAAGTGGTGAATCCATTTGAGCTTGTAAGTGGCCACAGGAAACCCTTCTGGTTCTCAAAGCCCTTAAAAAAATCATTGTCTGGCTTGCCAGGAGCCGTGGGATGTTTTCTCTCCAGCTAAGCAATAATGGAAGGTGGTGAACTCAGGTCAATTCGATGCTCCCTCAGGAGCCCTTCTGGACTGTGGTGTTTACACAGGATGAGATAAGAGCGCTGCTGCTGGCCTGGGTGGACAGAGCGCAGCAGAGCACCACAGGATCCGAGGTGATGGCGATGGCGATGGTGGGGGGTGTGGTCCCTCTGGCTCAGGCTTGGAAGAATGGTGAGAGAGACGGCTCCGATTTCTTACCTCAGTGGCTAAGAGCAGTCAGGTTACTGTGATCTGTCTTCTCAAAAAGGAGAAAAGAAAAATAGTCGTGTGCAGGCTCACCCCCCCCCACTCCTTCATCTATACAGTGCACACACATCTGTGGAGCCATATGTAAAATGATGGGTGTCTCAGACCACGTCCTCGAGGACAGCAAATGGGGAAAAAGAAATGTCAACAATGGAACTGTAGGTCTGAGTGCTAAGTGCCACCAAGGAAGACTGAGTGAGGCCTAGCAGTAGTTAGGAGCAAGATTGCCTCTAAGGGAGGGTATTCACAAAGGCTTCCTGAAGGATGGACTATCTGAGCCATACTCAAACCAAGTCATGGCCTACAGCTGAGGAGTCCTCACGAATCAAAGCAAACCTGTGTAGGGCAGCACCCAGATCAGAGAACATACTGGCCAGGCATGCTGGCACACATCCTTAACCCTAGCAGGCAGATCTCTGTGAGTTCTTAGCCAGCCTGGGCTACACGGTGAGACCCTTTCTCAAAGAAAGAAAAAGGAATCATCCTAGATACCAACTCCTACCCGCTCTCAGTCACTGGTCCCCACCTCATTGTCTTAGTCGGCTTTTTTGTTTGTTTTTAAGTCAGCTTGACACAAGTTAGAATTATCTGAGGGGAGAAACTTCAGTTAAGAAAATGCCTTCGTGAGTTTCCCTTAGGCGAGTCTGTGGTGTCATTTTCTTGATTGCTAATTTATAGAAGAGGACCCAGACCAGAGTTGTGCCACCCCTGGGCAGGTGGTCATGGGTGGTATGAGAAAGCAAACTATTGGGAACAAGGAGCTAAGTAGCACTCCTCTGTGGCTTCGGCTTCAGTTCCTGCTTCCAAGTGCCTTCTTCCCCAGGTTCCTGCTGTCATTTCCCTTCATGAAGGACTGGAAGGTGGAAGGTGGAATAAGTCCTTCCCTTGTCAAGTTGCTTGTGGTCATGGTGTTTATGATAGCAACAGAAGCTAACTACGACACCCACCAAGGTGCGATCATCTCCTGACTCCCAAAGCATTAGCTTTCCCTTTTGTTTGAGCTTGTAGACAGAAGCCATCGAATGTGAATTTCTTGGTGGCTGAGATGAAGCTGGAGGGACACACAGGAGTCCACCAGAGGACAAGGCAGATTAGAGGGAAATTCTTAAAGCAGACACAGAACTGAAGTATGGCTCTCAGCATTGATAGAGCACAGCATTCAAGGTGAAGAAAGAGGCATGAGATGATATAGGGCAGGATGATGAGCAGGGCAGGAGGTGGATGAGGGCAAAGAAGACTTTCTACACCTGGCAGAGCAGCTGGCCTGCCAACTGGAACCCTGGGAATCCAATCCACCTGGGCATCAGGTGTTAGTCATCTGTCTCTTTGCTGTGGCCAGATGCTTGAAAAGATGCAACTCAAGGGGGGAAGGATTTGGTTTTGTTTGTGGTTTAAGAGGGAAAACAGTCCACGATGGCAGGAAGATGTAGCATGTAAGACCATGTGGTGGCTAGTCACATTGCAGCTGCAGCCAGGAAGCAGAGACAGATGAATGCTAGTGTCTGTGCTTTCTCTCGCTTGCCCTTTTATTCAGTCCTGAACCCTACTCCAAGCAGTGGCGCTACCCACACTAATAGTAGGTCTCCTGCCCTCCTCCACTGAACCTCTCTGGAAACTCTTGCAATGACACCCTTTGCAAGCATCTCCTAAGTAATTCCAAATCAAGTTGACAATGAAGGTTAGCCACCAGTCAGTCACCTAAAGATCATAGGACCTGCATCAGAGATCCCAGTTTAGGACTTTCACAGATGATTCTAATAGTAAACGATGTTTAAAGCCAACTCCTGAGGCCACAGGGAGCCGCCAGGGCTGTCATTTAGAGTGATGGCTCATATCGACAGGACCTAGAATCTCGTAGGAGACAAATATTTGGAGAAGTCTAGGGGGAGTTTCTAGATTAGGGTATCAGAGATGGAAATACCCCCCCCCAACAGTGGGTGGCATCTTCTGATGGACTGGAGACTTTGAATAACGTAGAGAAAGTGACCTGAGCATCAGGTCTTCCTCTCTCTGCTTCCTGACTTCAGGTTACATTGTAGACACAATGTTACCAGCTACCTAAGCTCTTGCTGCCATGCTTTTGTTACCTTGATGTACTGTGTATCCTTAAACTGTGAACCAAATAAACCCTTCCTTAAGGTGTTTTTGTTGGGTATTTTGTGATATCAACAGGAGAAGTAATTATATGACAAGGCCTTGTCAGAGTTTTGAAAGATAATGTTAGCCTGTCTGTATCTACAATGCCAACAGGGAGGGGTTTTAGTTAGGATGTTGTGCTGGTCCAGAGAGCTCTTGACCTGATATAGAAGGTGTGATGGGTTTAAAGCATGGAGGGTGCTTAGGAAATAAATGAACCAGATATGTTGCTCACTAATCAGATATGGAAGGTGAGACTATGGAAGGACCCAGGAAAGATCTCCTGGACTTCTGACTTTAGTGGACCCCATAGAGGTGAGCAAACTTTTCTGGCAAGCTCAGATTTTTGTCTCATTAATTTATCTTTAATAACATAATGCAGGCATCTCTACATATCTTTGTGACACCATTTAAGCCTTCAGTGAACACTTTTGAAGTACTGACTATATATTTGACACTGTTCCAAGCATCAAAGCCCAAAGAAAACAGAACATAGAAAATTCACTATTAGTGTGCTAGTGTTTCACAAAAAATGTTTACGTTTGCTCCTTCTAGCTTAGTACATATATTCAAGGAAACAGTCTCTTGTTAGATTAGCTCCTAGAGAAGCAGACATGGGTGGGTTGTGTGGAAATAAAGAGAAAAGAATAGAAAAGAACCCTCTAGAATGGGCAATTATCACTGTTAACTGTGTTATTACCATGCTCCTCAGAGCAACAACGTACACACCATTGTCTACTGTTGTTGGGGGAAGCACACTGAAACAGGCTCTTAGTATGTACTCAGGATGTCCTAAAACTCTCCAGATAGTCTAGGATGGCTTCCAATTCACCAAGATGCACCAGCGTCTACCTCTGCCTCCAGAGTGCCTGGACTAAAGGTCTATACTGCAACACCCAGGCTTGTTATCTACATTTTTATTGAAGAGAAAATGAATCCTTCAAGAAAGTGAGCACCTCATCCCAAGGCTCACAGCGGGTAAGTCACTGGTTAAGAACGAAACTATCTTTCTGCAAAACAGAGAAGTGTATAGCAACCCCTCCTTGTCATATGAGGAAAACAAGGCTGTGAGTTGATGCAGGGCCCGGATTGACTAGCAAACCAATGAAAAATCTGGGAGTGTTGGGAGAAGTGTTTTTGCTCTGCTCTGTGGACACACAGGCAGTCATAGCCACCTGGGAGGCACCTGTTGTTAGGAATGGGGTTCACAGAGGTCAGGCTCAGGGTCAAGTATAACTGTGAACTGTTGCCTTGCTGAAGAGCCAAGGATAGGGCACAGCAGGAGGGAAAGGCCCATGAACTGGCTGTTCTTCTGTGTTTGCCCAGAGAGACCTGGAGCTGTTAGACGCACAGCCTTGACCTTGAATGATGGATTTACCTTCTTAGGAGTTGATTTGGTCGTGGGGAATCTACAAATGAAGCAAAGATGAACACAGGTGTCTTTAACAATGTGTGATCAACAAAGGAAGAGAGAGTTGCTTTGAGAGGGAGGGATGAATGTCAAGGAAGGACTGAAGGCCCGCATTGCATCCTGAGAACTATTTAGCCTGAGTCTTACTCCCAAGGCCTCCAGAGCCCTTCCCTGGAAGAATTCATTGGGCTCCCAAAGGATCCTATTGCAGGGATTGTCAGAATCTGTGCTCAGGAGGACATGATTGATTGGATTGACCAAAATATGGACACTGAAGTCGGGCAGAATGGAGGACATGAAGAGCAAGGCTTCATAGACACAGTAGTGACACCTGTTCTCAGATGGCCTGGGTCTCTTCATCTAAATACACAGATTGGACAGACTTGCAGGATAGGAGGAAGGAACACCCCTTTCTTGCATCCCTTCCCAGGGTGCCTGTCTTTGCTTTGCCCTTCTCTGACTTGGGCCTCCTGCTGGTCCTTAACACAGCCAGCCACTGAGACCTAATCTCTCCCTCCCAACACCCACTCCTGACTAGGAGCAGTTAGAAGCCTTAAAGGGAATGTGTCCTGAAAGCCACGCCTAAGAAAATGACTGCAGGCTATGAATGCCTGCATCATTATACACACTGGTCAGCCAGCCATGAAACTGGTGAGAACATGAAAGGTTAGAGAGGACAATCTCTCTTCCAAGATCTTACAGGGTGAGCTTGTCGTCCTTGGAAGGGGAAGCTAGTTTTCCAAGGAGGGGATAAGCCTCCGAGGCCAGGGGAGGTGGCCATTGTACTATCCAAAGGATGTTTTGGTTATATTTAGTGAAAGAAGCACTTCCCAAAGTAGCTGAGCCATCAGTGGTCCTGCGGTGTGGTTAAGCAGGCTAGCAGGCAACACCTCGGGGTGCTTCTGTTACACTTGGCTTCAGCACATAAAACCATTTGCTTTGGAAACCATCAGTCGGGGTTGGGAGTCAGTCTAGTGACAAACATTCGTTCCAAGGAGCCTCCTGTCTCCCTCTGGCTCCTCTGGGATGTGGTCTAAGGCCTTTGGTGAGGCTGGCAGACACAGGGGTGCAGAGTCTGCACAGTAGGCCTCTTCCTGTTCTGCAGACACACTGGGAGCTCCCTCTCCCTAGAAACTCTGTCCATAAATTCAGCTGGTACACCCTCACTTCCTTCAGATCCTTGTGTGTGTCACCTCAGTGAGGACGCCTAGCAGAAAGTTCACTACTGTTACGGGGTTGTGGGGAACTGGTGATGGCTCTGTCCCTGAAGTGTGGACTGGCTCTCACGGCCCCTCAAACTCTTTTCTGAATTTCTGACCCTTGTAGCTATCAGAGACCCGTGGTGAGCTTCATAGGCAGGGCTGGGGCCAGCTATCCACTCTGTGTCCAGTGACAAGAGGAGGCACAGCCTGAGCAGAGTGGGTACCCTAGGGAACGCCATCTCACCCATAGCTGCTTAATCTTTTGACAAATGTGCATTGAGGACACGTCCATGAAGGACGTCACTGAGGTGGGGGAAGAATGCAGCCTGTTGTCTGGGCCCAGAACACAAAGGCCGGTCTGTGCACACGTGGGCACTCCCGGCCCAGGCTGAATCAGCTGCTCCCGTTTCCTTCTTTGCCATCACAATACAACTACAGAGATACAGTTTGCCCTTCAACCCCCGCTCCAGGAGAACCAGGCAATGGGATTTCTGCCCACTGGGTGCCCGCTGAGCATAGCCAGTAACTCCAGCCTCCCGGCCCACTTGGCTCCCAATGAGTCTAGAATCTCAATTGCCTGCCTCTTCCTGACCTCATTTACCGTCCCCTCTCTTCTTCTCTTTCTCTTGTCCTCCCTGGCACACGTGTGAGGGACAGATCCAGGGTGATCTGGACTCTGCTGATTACCAGGGAGCCAAGGCTGGGAGCTGAGTCATTATCTACTGGGTGGCAGCCAGCTGTGGAGCAGGGTCACTCCAATAGGGCTTTACTCAGGCTGGGGAGTAGCAGCTGTCCTGGCCTATCACCCTCATCCTAGGACACTGGTCAAGGAACAATCTAGCTAGAGTCCCTACCATTGCCCAGCATAGGGACCAAGGGGCATGAGGATGCGATTGCCTGAGATGTGACAATAGACTTCAACATTACAAGCGGCAGAAGTAGCCCAGGTGAAGTTCTTAGTCCCTGGGCATCTTAGTTTCATCATTGATAGACACCCAGGAGAATGCTCTTTTTTGTTGTTTTGTTTTGTTTTTCAAGACAGGGTTTCTCTGTGTAGCTTTGTAGACCAAACTGGCCTCAAACTCACAGAGATCCACCTGCCTGTGCCTCCTGAAAGCTTATGTGGATGGTTGTTGAGTACTTTCCATGGACCTTGAAACAGTGCTCAGCCTGGGTCGACCTAGATTAAGCCTTGAAGCAGTAAGCCATGCCAGTTTTCATCAGCACCAACACCATTTATTTGTTCATCAATTGGGTGCCTTCTACATGTCAGACACGTCAGTACACTTGATAAGTCAGCAAAGAGACAAAAATCCTTCCTATGAATGTAAGGTAAACTTCCTTCCTTCCTTCCTTCCTTCCTTCCTCTCTTCCTCCTTTTCCCTTCCTCCTCCTCTTCCTTTTTCTCATTCTTTTGACAGGTTCTCACTTCTAAATGGAGAGAAATGAAAACTGTCAACTGTATTAAATGAAAGGGCTCACAGTACATTGAGAAGGTAGCAGGGCTCAGAGCTGGGAAGGAGGACTTGGCCTCGGGAATCTCGGAAGGCCTGCGGTTAAGCAGGTGGCCTGGGAGAGTCTTAGGAGATGGTGCTTATATAATGATCTGAAGGACATGGGGGTGGTGTGCCAACTGGGTTTCTGGGGGAAGAATGTTCTCAGCACAGGGGATACCCTGTTACTCCCCAGGGGTGGCGCTTACCTGGTGTGTCTACGCATTGGGAAGAGGTTCATGTCAATGGATAGAATGCAGGGGAGAGTACTGAGGGATCAGGATAAGGACATAAAGGGATCTGATCACATGACACCTTTGAAACAGTATGCCAAGCCTGCCCTGAACACCCAATGGAGTCGCTTACATAACAGAACTCACTGGGTGCCTGCAGCTAGGCACTCCCCTAGCTTGACTCCCCTAACAAGTTCTTCTAATTGTGTGTGTGTGTGTGTGTGTGTGTGTGTGTGTGTGTGTGTGTGTGTGTGTGTGTGTGCTGGGTGTCCTCCCTACCCCTGCCCTTCCCATCACCAAGTTAGAACTCTGCAATCTCTTGTCATTCACTGGCTTACCTGCAGCATTCCTGGTGGGCCAGTATGCATTAGGCAGCACCGCCCCTTCCTGCACTGCAGACATGCTGTTGTTGGCCTCCTTATCTCTGTCCGCCTCCTTGACCTCAGAGGGCCCTTCCTGACTGGGGTTTGCTCTCTCTTTTCACTTTCTCTGCCCTGAGTTCAGCGAAACCCACTCCAACCCTTCTCTTGATGTGTGGGTAGAAGGATAGAAGGATAATCCCTAAAAGTCCCAATTCTTTTTTTGTTTTTGTTTTTGTTTTACGAGACAGGGCTTCTCTGCTTTGGAGGCTGTCAGTCCAGCCTGGCCTCGAACTCACAGAGATCGGCCTGCCTCTGCCTCCCGAGTGCTGGGATTAAAGGCGTGCACCACCAACGCCCGGCTTAAAAGTCCCAATTCTTAAAAATCAGTGATTCCCAGGGCTAGTGATAGTCCCATCTTTCTGGTCCTGCTATGTATCAACAATAATTATTTGGAAAAGTAATGTGGCAACATGGATAGTGTATGATACTATCCACGTTTAATATACTATGATACTAAAGTGCAGATACCCGTTGATTTGGGAATTTCATGTTTAAGAATTTAGCTTAAGAAGATGGATCTGATTAAAGAAATGCCCCCATAGAACTGGAGATGTGCAGTTGGAGGAGCACTCGCCTAGCATGCAGGACGCTCTGAGTGCTCTCCAGCACTGCAGAGACTGAGTAAGGAGGCACCTGCATGTGATCCGAGCCAGCACTTGGGAGGTAGAGGCAGAATCATCAGGAGTTCAAGCTTATTCTTGGCTACTTAGGGATTGGAGGCTAGCCTGAGCTATATGAGACTCCTTAAGAGAGAAAGAAAGAGGGGAAGAGAGAAAAAAAGAAAGAAAGGAAGGAAAGAAGGAAGGAAGAGAAAGTGAGAGGACCAGAGGAAAGAAAGAGAAGAAAGAGTGAGGGCAGGCCATACAAATAAAAATGTGCATCATAGAACTATATATATTATATGGAACACAAAAATGGTAGCAACGATTATCACTTATTAAATATTCTTTAAGGACCAAGTGCCATTGAGTTACTTATTATTTCATCCGATCCTTGCCCTATTTCTGTAAGAAAGGAACAGCGATTAGCACAGGGGCTTTCAACCCTGGTCATGACCCTGTCACAGGGGTTACTTAAGACCATGGGGAAACACAGATATTTACCTTACAACTTATAACAGTAGCAAAATTATAGTTATGAAGTAGAAATGAAAATAATTGTATCATGGGGGGGTCACCACAACATGAGGTACTGTATGTATTAAAGGGTCACAGCATCAGGAAGGTTGAGAACCACTGGTCTAGCAGGAGTTACAACTGCCATGTGTGGGAGTGAGGTTTCTTTAGAGGAGTAGAACTGATATATTTTTATATATTCAAAGGGAGTATGTTGGATTGGCTGCCTGCTGACTGGAGAATGGAGTTCAGACATACAACACAGTCTGGGAAACCCAACGATGATGGTCTTCACCCTGCGGAGCTGACATCCCTGAGACTGGGTGTCATAACAGTCTCAAGTTGGTGATAATAGCTGGAGAATTTCTAGAGAGCCGCCAGCCTTCTGTCCAAGTTGGAAGGCCAAAGAAGCTGGATCCCAATGTCAGCAACAGTGGCTGCAACAACAACAGGGTTGATGAACTCATGAACAAGATACAAAGGCAAGCAGGCAAAAAGTGAAAGCTTTCCCCTCAGATTTCCCTATATTTGAGCTGCCTCCAGAAGCTGCTGCCCGCATTCAGGATGTGTCTTTCCACTAAGAGTAACCTAATCAAGAAAACCTCTCACAATCACACTCACAGACTAACCTAAACTAGATTATCCCTCATAGAGGTGCCTAGAGGTTTGTCTTATGGATGATTCTAGATCTGTCAAGTTTATATTAGCTATCACAAGTCTACTCCTTGTCAACCACATACCCTTATGTTGTGTTTAGTTTCCAAATGACATTTACAGAATAAAGGTAAAGCCTCAGTTGGGGCTTCCTGGTGAACAGGAAATGGAGTCTAGACTAGAAAGGGAAGATGGCAACCATCTTAGTCAAACTCAGCTGTTGCCCAGACATTATCTCCTAATAGTTAGAGATTGTAGCTATTTTTGGAGAGTTTGTGGCCAGCACAGGAACTCCATGTATTTGGCTACACCCTGGTTGAGGTACTATCAGGTCAATGTCAGTCATGTTCCTGCCCACCCAAACTCTCAAGTTCCCCTGGAAGTCATTCCTAACTGTGGTAAAGTGGTAGATACTATAAAAAAAAATAGGACAGTAATAGTGGTTTGTTTGGGGAAAGAGCTGACATGAAATTACCCTTCAGAAGTGACCTTTATTAGGAGAGAAGGCCTCACAACTATGGGAGCTGTGATCTGTCCCTGAGATGAGAGATCATTATAAAGGGACTGTACATCATATCAGTGACAACATAACAAACTGGAAAGGGAGACAGAGAGAGGTTTTCCTCTGAAACCTAGTGGGAAGCCTACCTAAGACAATAGCTTCAAGTAAAAGAGGGGTGACTGCCGTAGATTGGATGATGGGGGCGTGTACAGAGGACAGCTTGAAGAGAGTATAGGAAAATACCTGGCTATCTCCTTGCAGGATGGTAGGACAGCCTGTTACAAGGGGCATAGAGAGTAGAACTATAAATAAGGACTGTGATATCATAGCATATCGATTCTTACTATATGTCTCAGAGAGAAAACGGCAGGTTTGGGAATTTGGCTACTTAAAATGAGACACTAGGAAGCCTGTCACATCACCGGATTCTCACCCAGTTCCCCAGCTACCTCAGAGCCTCCAAATAACACACGAGATACTATATTAATTATGAAACTGCTGGCCAATATCTAGGGCTTCCTATTGGCTAGCTCTGACTTAATTTCTAACCCAATTCTATCAATCTAAGTATTTCCATGTGGTCTTCTCTTACCAGAGAAATGTCCGGAGACATGTTATTCCAGTCCCCCTGAACCTCTGAATCTCTTCATCAACACTAAGCTAGGAGGATTAGACATCTCCAAAAGAACAGTAGGCCATCTTTTAACCTGTGTGTCAAAGTCAACAGCCTGCCAATAAAATATATTCTTGGAACCTTTATTTTAATACACACACACACACACACACACAGAGAGAGAGAGAGAGAGAGAGAGAGAGAGAGAGAGAGAGAGAGAGAGAGAGAGAGAGAGATGTTTTGTCTGCATACAGGTTTGCATCATGTGCATGTCTGGTGCCTGTGGAGATGAGAAGAAGTGAGAAGAAGGTGGTTGGATCTACTGGGACTGCAGTTACAGATGGTTGTGAGTTGCCATTTGGATGCTGGGAATTGAACCTGGGTCCTCTTGAAAAGCAGCCAGTGTTCTTAACTACTGGGTCATGTTTCTAGCTCCCTTGGCACCTTCTTTTAATTACCATGAGCCATGTTAGACCTAGAATCTCTGCTCAATGAGGCCACACTGATAAACTCTTCCTGGTCTAGTTTCTATGCTTTTCCAGAATTATTCCACTCCCTCAAAATCCATTCCCACCCATATTGCCCAGATTTTTGTTTGAATGAATTAGGAAACTTGCTGTGCTCTTTAGGGATATAGTGCACCTCCTCACGGACCATACTTCCTATCTCACCTCTAGAGGCCGGACTAGCTTTGAATATGGTCATAGGTCCAGGGGTAAAAATGGGTGGACACTTTAGATCAGACTGCTTTCAGCAGTGATCAGAGAAGTGTCATTTTGCAGTGGGCATCAGTTAGTGTCATGACTGGTCAAAATGCCAAGAATAAGTTGTTGAGTCACAACTCTAGATGAGACATTTCTATCATTTGCGCCACTCCCCCCCCACCCATGCTCAGGGAACATTGTGGAAGAGGAGGTATCAAGAATGTAAGAGCCAGAGGATGAAGAGCGAGGAGTGCTACTAGACACTGGACATGCGTGGTCATTCCAATCATGAACTCATGAAGCAGTGGTTACTGCAGAAGACCTGAGCAGGACACAACTGAAAGGGGACATTATCAGCTCAGGACACCCTAGACCCAGTTCTCTGCACAAAGGAAACTTTTTGCCCCAGAGGAACAGAGGTCAGGGAATAAGAGACACAGGAGATAGAGAATGAGGGCAAAGGGGAAGGGAACAAGGGAGGGGGAAGGGATATTTGTCCCAGAATGGGACAAAGGACTGCCTCTGGATAGAGAGGAGACAGACATGGCCCATAGAAAAATGGCAGTTTATAAAGGTAAAAGGAAAGGTGTTTAATTTTAATTGGGCATGTTAATTTGGTGAGCCAAAGGGGGCTTTTGGTTGCTGGACTTTTAATACTTTGATGGCTGGACCTTGGTAGTCAGCCTCAGGAGGAGGAAGTGACTTTGGTGGCTAGCTCTAGCAATGTAATCTAATGATTTTTAGCAAGGCAGAGGGAATGACAGAGAAGGGCAAGGCCTGCCAGAGCCATCATTGTCATGCTTAGGCTGGCTGGTGTCCCTTCAGGAACCCATCAACATCCCAGCATGGATGGAGGTGGGATATGGCCCCACTCCTGGAAGTTATTTATAATCAATGTCTGCTGGGGAGGATGAGTCATTTTTCTTCAGGGGTATAGCCTGTAACCTCACACCTTTGGGGGAACAAAACTAGGAAGAGTTGAGGAGTTGACTCAATGACAGAGTGCATGCCCAGCTTTTGTAAGGTTCTAGGTTCAGTCTTCCCTTGAACAGTTGATAAATATGTTACATCCATAGTGGGACATTAGCCATAAGAAGGGAACACAATCTCAACATCTACTACCTCACTGGAGGATCCTGGAAAACATACTAAGTGCAAAACGCTGAATGGAAAACATCTCACTGTGTGATCCCCCGAGATGCAAAGCTCTGAGATGTCTATGGAGAAGTACATTCATAGTCATCTTGAGATAAAGAGGTGACAGGACAGGCTGAGAAGCCAAGGGACACCTGATAGGGTGTCTGTGCTTTCCAGGTGTCCTGCCTCCTTCCTCCTACAGAACAGCATCCAACTCCCCAGGAGATCCGTGTCATTTCCCAACACTATCATTCAAGTGACTCACCCTTCTGCAATCACCCAGGCAATTTCCTGCCTTCGTCCTTTCTTCTTATTGTGTTCTTGCCCGATTGTCTTCATTTACTGATCAGATTGCACTCTTCCTTCCAGATATAAGCCTCATGCACCTTCTTCCACTTCCTACATGCTCTCTGCACCTCTGCCCACCCATCATCAGAAAGTGTCTCCTGTCCTCAGTGACTCTCACCACACTGTTAGCTTTTGTAGCTAGGTGACAGTGTTATCCACTCAGCTTATTGAAGGCAATTCAAGGCATGTATACTCTTTTGTAGCCTAATATAATTACCAGAGTGTTTAGGGTGAACACGTTAGGACTTGCCAAGCCCAACAAACTAGGCTCTGCCACCCATCCCCAATGAACTGACTGAAGAGACAGGTAATAATGAAAAGGAAAGAAAAGAGACTTTCTAAAAGACTGCTTAAAAAGTAACGTCCTGCCATCATTGCCTTATCATTATGCTAGCTCTGGCCTGGTCTGCAACATGGTCTGATAAGTTGCTAGACTATGCACAGTTTATTCTTGGAGGCAAGTTCCTCCTCCAACTAGCACCAGGGCTTTATAAGCCCTCCCCCGCCCCCTCCCCGCCCTCTGCCCTCCGCCCTCCCATAGATTAGGTTCCCAGGAACCCTATTCTTTGGGCCTGTTGTTTCATTAGTCTGAGAATTGATGGGAGAGACACAAATATCCTTTTCCTTTGCTGTGAGGGTGGTTACAATATAACTATCTGCTTCCTCTCTGGGGCTCCATGGAACACCTCCACGTGGTGAACCTCGGAGGTCTGTCAATGATGGCCTTGACATTCTCTGCACTTGCTGGGCTGCTCTCTGCAGAACTCAGCCTGACAAGTTTGAAACTCCAGATGTGATTGCGAAGATAGTGTGCCTCTTTACAGCCTCCCCCACCCATTTTTTAAAAGCCTTTTCATCCCGTTCATTTGCTTAGGGCTACTATGCTTACTGGTCATATTTGCCCATCTGAGTCTCCCTGTGCCTTTCCTTAGATCATCTCCAACCCCGCTATTCTGGCAGTGCTGCCCAGCACCTGAGAGCAGGTTACCTCTGTCCTCGGGAGGGCCTACAAGCTAGGGCTGGAGCAGCAGAAGCTCAGAACATCCTCAGTTGCTGTTCTCCGTTCAGCTGAGCCCCAGTGAGCTTTCTTCCTTAGACCTTTTCTGCTCAACATAAAAAGCCCAGCCCTTAATAGCTATGTTGGTAAATTGCAGAGTGACTAACAATGGCTCTTTGAGCAGAAAACTGTTTTTCCTTTAAAGATGTGATTTCTAAAGGGCTGCTGTCCTTTTGCACAGAATTCTGTGTGTGTGGCAGATTGTTTTCCAAAGGAACACATCTCCACATTTGTGATGAGAGGCACCTGAAGACGGACTCCAGAGCCTTGGCTGGACACCAAGTGGGTAGCTAATTTTTGTAGCATGGAAGATGAAATAACAAGCCCCTGAACTGCAGTGTTGGTTTGTTCCCCTGTTCTCAAATAAAATTGATGGAGAATTAAATTTGTTTTACCCATTAGTTAAATTGTGTGAAGAAATAGTTTCATCTTTTAGATCTTCAATGCCATCCCAGGATTGTCAAGTACCTTTGGATGGTTTACCTTTAGTGAAGACTCTGGTTGGGGCTGATAGGATGGCTCAGTGGGTAGAGATGCTTGCTACTAGGTCTATTGACCTGAGTTTAATTCCCAGGCCCTATATGGCAGGAGAGAATCATTTCCTGTAAAGATGTGTTTACACACACACACACACACACAGACACACATACATACCACACACAGAGAGACACACACGCGCACACACACACACACACACAGACATGCATACACACACAGAGACACACACACAGAGGACACAGACACACACATAAATTTTAGAAATGTAAAGCCTCTGGTTAAATGAATTATGAATTCATTATAAAAATTATAAATAACAATTCATTTGACCAAATGGCCTGGAAGACACTCAGTTGGTTAATTGTTTCTCTATGTCTCTCCTCGGCCACCATCTAATCTTTACCTGGTACACAGAGCTGATAAGCGCATCCATCCTGTGAGGTGAAGTTCTGCTTATGCTTGGAATTATGTGTTTTATGTATACCTGTGTAATTACTGACTCTTCCATGAAGAATGGCACTGTAAGATATATTCTTTTGCATTCTCATTTGCTTCAGAAAACAAACGAAAATCTTAGTTTTTATGCCAGAATGTAAACTTATTAAGTCCTAGAGCATATCACCCATGTTTCTCTCTCTCTCTCTCTCTCTCTCTCTCTCTCTCTCTCTCTCCTATATCAAAGACTCTCTTGCTATCTTCTAGCTTTTAAAAAAATATTAGATGTGGCTTATTTATTTTTAGTTGATGCATAAGGGTGTTTTGCCTACCTATGTGTCTGTACACCATGTATTGTACAGACAGAGGCCAGAGGCCAGAAGAGAGCATCAGATCTTCTAGAACTGTAGTCATAGAAAGTTGTTAGCCACCATGTGGGTGCTGAGAACTGAATCAGAGTCATCTGCAAGAGCAATAAGTGCTCTTAACCTCTAAGCTATTTCTGCAGTCCACCCACCTCCTCTTTTAATCAAGTTCTCCAATGAAGTTTTCTATTCTGTGTGGCGTCTAGTCTCTGCTCCAGTCTCCAAGGGTGCTGATAAGTTAACTTACTTCTGATTCTTGCAAGTCACATTCCATGTTTCTTGTAGTGTAAGATGCACATGATTGCAAGAGTCTACATGCCTTATAGACCATTGAGTAAAAACACAAAGTATTTCAAGAATGCAGCATGTTTGTTAGGGCTTGATTTTAAAGGCAGTTTCAGTATGACACAATGCGCATCTCAGAATCGTGAATTGTATTGAATTTTGAAGGGAGTCTTCTTCAGGCAATGCCTTGCTGCCTCCTATGGTGGAATGCTGGACATCTTGGTAGGGACAAAGGCTTGAAGTCACATGGGGTTTTGGCTATTTGTTTCCTGTACATAAATTTTCTATTATCAATGTAACAAATAATCACAAATTTAATGACTTAAAACAACACAAACACATCAATTTACAGCTTTGTAGACTGGAGGTCTGCCATGTGTCTCAGTGGGCTAAAGCAACCTGGCAGGCTTGCTTTTCTTTATGGAGAGGGCTGGGTGCTCTGTCTTCTCTGGTGTTGGAAGGTCATCTGTATTTTCAGTGTATGGGTTCATTCTCCACTTTCAAGGCAGAGTGTTGCATCTCCCAGACCCTTTATGGTCTCATCTCTCTCTGATTCTCTTCTGCCTCCCTCTTCCCCTCTGTGGATCCTCATAATGACCTTGAGGCAAAGATAGCCAGTATAGCCTTCCCATTCGAGGATCATCTGATCGTCAACTTTAATACCTTAATCCCCATAGCTATGCAATCCCCATATTCACAGGTTCATCATTGGATGTCATCACATTGTCTATCATCCCTAGAATAGAAGTCACAGTATGACAGGGTTTGAGGAGAAAATCGGGGGTAGAAGGAGATACAAAAGAAGCCACAGTCATCAACTAGTTTCTTTTGAGGTGTGACCTTTTTGTGTTGTTTATTAAGCAAGGGGGCAGAGAGCAGCAAGTGACCATTTGATGTGGGGTTGATAGAGACATATACAGAGAAGGCACTGTCTATGCAAAAAAACAGCAAAACAGTCTTCAGGGCATCCCCTTGGGCTCAACACAACTAGAAGAAAAGGAAAGCTACACACACACACACACACACACACACACACACACACACACACACACAGAGAGAGAGAGAGAGAGAGAGAGAGAGAGAGAGAGAGAGAGAGAGAGAGAGAGAGGATGGGTTGCAAAGAAATCTCAGCCAAGACTCCATTTGGAGCTTTGGAGGTGGGCAAAGAGCCAGCCAGAACTTTGGACCGTTAGCTGTGGATTGTCCATGAAGAGAGTTGTGCTCTTGATGGGGGGGGTGCTTTCTCTTTAACAGGAGCACTTCTTGGAGGGGGCAGTCTGCTAGCATGTTCCTAGTCAGTGCAGGGAATAAGCCTAACAGTTCTAAAGAAGCGTGGGGGAGATGCAGTGTGAAGCCCACTGTGGAAGTGTTTTGGTGTAAGGTCGGCTGTCAGTGAACTAGATAGAGGGAGTTCTCAAGGCTTGACAGGGAGGGTCCCCAAGCACGGTACATGACTAGGCGGAGAAAAATGCCCATCCAGGCAGGGAGGAAATTTAGAAGGTATGCCTTCTCATCTCCCATCTGCACCCAAACTCTTCAGAACTCAGGCTTCCTGTACTAAGAATCTGGAGGATGTTTAGGTGAATGATGGCATCTACTGTGCCTAACCCCAGGATAGCAGTCAACCTGCAAACTCAGGGACATCTCCCTTAGGAGTAAGGATGATGCTTCACGGTTGTTGAAAGGATGGATGTCCAGATGGGTTAACCCAGTTGCTGGTGTTAAAACACATCATTTTCTCTTCCTTCTCTGCTCCTTGTGACTGAACATCCACATCCCACTCGTGGGTTCCATTGTTTGTAAAGAGGAATCAACAGATGTATTTTAAGTAGTAAGAGAAAATAAGCATACAGAACTGAGTATTCACCTAGTATTTGGGTAATGGCATCAGTTCCTTCTTCTCTAGGACGATACGTAGGTTACACCATGGTTGACCAAGATTTTTTTTGCAGCTTCTTATAAATGTAAGAAAACAGAAAGCAGATACTGTGTAAGCAGGGAGCAGAAAGGAGCCAGCCAAGCATGGCATCCAGGGACTGTACCAGGGCCTCTTGGGTACACCTGCTCTCTCTATCTGTTATTTGCATTTGTGCACTTCTAATTTGCTATATCCAGGAAACTATGTGCTCAAGTGTAGACACTGTTCAGATAATGCAAGAGAGGCCTAGCACATGCCAACAGTGGTGCCCCTGCAAATCAGCCCTGCTGGCCAAGGAAACCCCTGCAGGCTCTAAGTGGGGAGTGGAGGATGGGTGGTGTGGGTGGTGTGAGCTCTGAGTTAGCTTCTTGTAAACAGCTGATTTGGTGCCTGTTTTGGTCAGTCGCTCCCTTCTGTCTCTAGTAAATCAGACTTCATAGAGCAAGAGAGAGAAACTGATACACATCTATCCTGCTGCTCAGAGAGCGAGCGTTTGCCTTGGATTTAAAGGGCACAGTAGTACCTCCAGGCCACACTGAGAAAGCTCTTGCTGTTTGTAGCCATGGTGCCAAATGCCCTGGAATCTCACTTAATCCCCACAGCCGCGCTCACAAGGTTCTGTCCACTTTACATATTGGGAAAGAAAGACTCAGACGTGAAGAGAAGGTGTTGTAGGTCACAGGGAGTAAGCTGCAGAGCCGAGTGCGAGTCTGGTTCGATCTGGACAGTGAGC